TCATTCTAGAATGACTACAAATTATAACATGAAAATCACTTTGCATTCGGACTAGTAATGAAACAGACTCGATATTTTCACATCCAAATCTTTAGCAAAAATACTTCATTTAAAAATCTGATTTTTTTGTTTACAAAAGACTTGTAATCGTTACTAAAGTTTACCAAATTTTGTGAAGATACACATAATGCATTAAAAGTTATAGTATAAATACTTAACGTGTGCAAATGTGTATATGAACTTGTGTATTTTATACAGAGTCTGTCGTTAAACGGTTAATAAGATAACATGAGTTATGAGTTTGCTGAATGATGTATAACTAGTATGGTGGGATTATTAGTTAGACATGGTTCAAAGGGGAATAAAACAATGAAATTAACTATAAACAAATGTATTCTCTTGTGAGCCTAAAGCTATTTAGGATAAACAATTATAGTTTTATTGTACAATCTGAAGTTATTCTAGGAAGAATAAAGGGTAATTTAGATTAATTTTTATCGCAGTTATACAAGGTTGGTCAAATCAGTTAAGTTCGTACAGAGCTAAGGTTGAGAAAGTAACAGATGAAAGGTTTTAGATTTACAAAAATGAAATATGAAAATGCACTTGGAGCAGTCAATACTGTGACTCCATATATTTACAGGGAAATTTTTTTAGTAAAAATACTTAATTGAAAAATCTGATTTTTTGTAAAAGACTTGTAATTTTTACTGAAAACTTGTCAAATTTTGAGAAGATACATTAAGTACTTTCAGAGTTATAGTACGTATACCTTCACGGTTACAAGGTTGTGTAAAACACACAAGCTCGTGTCCATGTGGTTAAATTAACTGTATCTACCACATCTTAAGGCAACCCATTCAAAAGGCCAATTGTTCTATTAGAAAAATATAGCTGTCTTAGAAGAAGCTGAATCCTATCCTTCCAAAATTCATATTTGTGTCCTCTAGTACTGCCATTCTTACCAGTAAGTACAAAAAATGATATCAATACTATCAATTCCATTAACAATCTTAAACACGTCAATTAGATCCACTTTAACTGCTCTTTTTTCAAGAGAAAGCAATTTCAGGAATCTTAAGCTATTCTCATTTGACAGTCTTTTGGTTCTTGTGTATCATCCTAGTAACCTTCTTCTGAACCTTTCCAACAGTTCAATGTCCCTTCTAAGGTAATGAGCCCAAGAATGAACACGATACTCCAAACGTTGTCTAACCAATGAGCTATACAATGAAATTATAACCTTCAGACTTGTATTCAATATTTCTGTAGATACAACCTAAAATCCTGTCTTCCCTGCCAATAGCAACAGCACATTGCTTAGATGGCTTAGAGACTGATCAACCAGAACACTTAAATGTTTTTTCTTACATAACACTTTTAATATTATTCTCAGCAGTATTATGCTTATAATTCAAACTGTAATATCCTACATGCAGTACCTTACATTTATTGTAATTAAAAGTCATCCGTCATTTATTTGCCCAACTCACCAAATAATCCAACTACTTTTGTAAAGCATCATAATTTTCCTTAAAGTCAGCAACACACAAAATTTGATGTCAACAGCAAATTTAGATAATTTATTGACCATTCCTTCATTGATATAAATCCAAAAGAGCAAAGATCCTAAAACTGAGCCCTGAGGTACCCCACTCATGAAATTAATCCTATTTCACTTAACTCCATTACAACAATTCTCTAATTTCTTCAATCTACCCAGTTTTCTATCCTATGAGCCAACCTATCCCCCACATCAGCATGCAGTTCTTTAAGGAGATTTGTGCAGCTCTCGGGCTATCTGCTGTGTCCATTGAGGGGAATTGAACCCCTGACTTTTTTTTTAGTTAGACCATTAGGGCATATTGCGGCTCTTGAAATGTATTGGTCTTGGACAAAAATGAAAAAAATGTCTCTTCTTTGAAGGCTTGCCGACCCCTTCCCCATACTTAAAGAAACAACTTTTGTAACAAGCTTTTTATGTAGTAACTCGTAAAATGCTTTCTGAAAAGCCAGGTACACCACATGCATACCTGTACTTTCATCTACATGAGCAATAACCTTTTTAAAGAATGTCAAAAAGTTAGTAAGGCAAGTACTTGTTACCTGCATGATATTTCAAAATTTTATTAAAATGCTACATAAAAGATTATCTAAGAAAATCGTATTAGTGGTTAGAGAAAGACTAGTTAATTGTAGAGCAGTTGAATTGGGAGAAAGCAAAGATTATTATTTATGGAATCAAGTTAAACTGGACTTTCAGGTTTTGATTTTTTATTAGTTATTCTCAATTCCAGTCTAATTTGAAGTTTTGCTCTCAATAACTAGTTTGTTTTCAATAGAAGTTAATATCAATTATTTACATATTGATCATATTGGTCGAGGCATAATTAGTGAAGTTTGCAGATGACATGAAATTATTGGATATTTCTAGCTATAATTTGTCCAACTTACCAGATGATCCAGAGTTGGTGAATTATCTTTAATTATAATGAGAGTGAGGGAATGTATTTTAGTTATAATTTGGATCACATATGTAGATTGGAACCCACTCAGAAACATGTCTCAGGAAAAGCTTTTCGGCATAGTGGTAGATAATCCACTCAAGCTCCATTGCTAGTGTTATAGGTAATATAATTTTAGGATGTACATATGCATTTTGATTACAGGTCATTATTTCACTATACAAATCACTAGTTTAGGCCGCAATTGTAAACAGTGGACAGTTTTGATTTCCTTATCCGAGAAAGGATATTGACTTGCTAGAAAGGGTTCAGAGAAGAGCTGTTCTGATTACTTTGGGGTTGAAAGGGTTATTGTGGTATTTTCTCCTTGTAAAGGAAGGATAAGAGGTGATCTTATTGGGGATCAATAGGATAAAGACCTAGTTTCTTTTTGATCCGTTTGGAAGAAAATACAGAAGTTAAAGATTTAGAAAATAGTTTTATTTTTCTAACAGAGTTATGAATTTATCTCTTGTAAGATGCCAGCCTGCATTACTATGGATAACAATTCCTTCTAATACTAGAAGGAAAGATTTTTTGTAAAATATAGGATGGGTTTAAATTTAAACTTTTTCTCAGGGTTGGGGATGCAGAAAGGACCGAAAGTCCCTTATTTCTGGAATATTATGTTAAACGTGTAACATTTTAGAAAATATTTTAGTTGTAATACTCTAAAAAAATATTGTTCATGGTTGTTGACAAGTCAACATGAAAATGTGTTTAAGCATCTCAGAGTGTATAGTTTTATGATGTGACAGGTAAGTAACTATTGTAGATGTCATGCTTTAATATATATAAGAAATGTAAGATATAAATATATTATAGGATTTTGATAATTCATTTGCTTTAAGCACTATATAATACTGTATATGTGTGTGTGTGTGTGTGTGTACTCAGATGAAAACGTCCAGTATCCAACTGAGAAGACCGAGGCAAATATTTATAATGGAGATGTTCGAGATGGAACACCTTCTACGCAGGAGGAAACCATGGAGGAAGAGGGTAAAAACAAAATTTGTAACTAATTGATTTCTTTTTTATATATTATACTATGAATTATTCTCGTACTACTTGTGTCTTTGAATAATTACTCACTCTACATTTTCTTGTTAAAATTCATAAAGCAAGCCTAAATATAAATGTAGTATTGGAGTGGCAAAATTTATTGGTCATGATATATTTAACTACTGAAAGACTTCACGCATGATTTTAACACAGTTAACTAGACATAATATGTCAATTTAATTATGTTTTCTTTCCCCTAAAACTTTGAAAAAGCTTAATGAAGTGTTAGTGGGGAATTTTAACATTTTTTTCTATTCATATTGTTATAAGAAAGTTTTTTAACAAGTTGATGCTTGTGGAATTGTGTGAGAGATAAGAAATAGGTAGAGCTTTGGATTAATAGTAAAAAGCAAAAGTTGGGATATATTTCTGGTATTTTTTTAAACAATTATTTAAGGTTTGAAATTAACTTTTCTTAGCATTGGCCTGTAGTGGGTGATAGAAATTATTGGTTCAAGAGTTTAGTGTTAAGACTGTTGTATTCAAACAATATTCTTATTATTTATAGAAAACAAATTACTATTTGTTATAAATTGATTTCGACAAAAATACTGATGTCAAAATATTTTATGACATCTGATAAGATAACAGTGTCACCATTTTGAAAGAATAAACTCATTTCTCACTGGTAAGTTTTTGAACTTGTAGTGTTTGTATAATTTATAGCAGGTTCTGGTTGATAATGAAGGAAGTATAAAAGTTCTTTACTTCAATGTTTAGGTGAAAAATTTAAATAACTTTCTGGAGAATGATGAATAGCTGTTTAAATTTTTCTTACAAGCTAACAACATGTTGTGTCACACTAATAAATCCAAATCCAAAATTTGATCACAAACATAATCTTTTAATACTAACTAAACTTAATACAGTAATATTTAGTATCCTCTAGTAAATGATGTTACAGTGAAAGGTTAATTCTTTAATACAAATAGCATGATTATTTGTATTCTATCAGTACTTTGAACTTTGTATTACAGGAAATCATCATGGATTGTAATAAGAGACCATTAAAAGTTAGAATTCCGGGTCATAATAGCTGCATGAGAATCTGTAATATTAATCTACCTATAATAACCCATTGTGACAGAGAATTATACTGTAAATTGAAATAATACTATTGGAATGAGTGTGAACCACACAAAATAACCTGATTTTATTTGAGAAATCTCAGTTTCTAAGTGTCAAGGGTGCCATGACCCAAAAATTAAGTTCTGTGCACCCCTGAAACCCATGATTACACCTCATAAATGCAACCAATTAAGAATCTCTGTGATAATAGAACTTGCGATATTTTTATGAACATAATCTACTTTTACCATGAAGATAAGTAATACCAACAACAAGAAGGCCTAGCTGTGGGCTCAACCCTCTCTATCCAGTACTCGGTAACCTCTACATAAAACATTTCAAAGATAATTCCTGCAAAACAACTGATAAAGTCCCAGGACTTGGCTCAGATGTCTTTTGTAATATAGCCACACACTAAATCTGTGAGCCATCTGAATAGACAACATCCAGGAATATAATTCACAGTAGAAATAAATGATAAAAAATTTCTCATTTCTAGATATGAGAAGTTAACCAAAACAGATAATTTACGTACAACAGGTACTTACTGAAACATAAATATATGGGTAAATACTTCAATTATAAATTAAACTATCCAAACAGTGTCTAGATTTTGTAATACTGAAAATAAAAGGAAGAAAAAAGGAAAACATATAACAATAGCTCTCATTAACAAAATAACCTTTTACATTCACCTATTGAAATAATACTTAGTAATGAATGTGATCCACACAAAATAACATTTTACATTCAACTATTGAAATAATACTATGGTAATGAATGTGATCCACACAAAATAACCTTTACATTAATCTATTGAAATAATACTATAGTAATTAATGTGATCCACACAAAATAACCTTTTACATTCACCTATTGAAATAATACTATAGTAATGAATGTAATCCACACAAAATAACCTTTTACATTAATCTATTGAAATAATACTATAGTAATGAATGTGATCCACACAAAATAACCTTTTACATTAATCTATTGAAATAATACTATAGTAATGAATGTGATCCACACAAAATAACCTTTTACATTCACCTATTGAAATAATACTATAGTAATGAATGTGATCCACACAAAATAACCTTTTATGTTCACCTATTGAAATAATACTATAGTAATGAATAATGAATGTGAATGTTTTAACTAGTTTGATTTCTTTTAACACTTTTTTTGCTAATTACAGTGGTCAATTTCCCCCCAAAAAATACAAATGCAGAAGGACTGACAGAGATTTATTGGTTAACTATGACCATTGACCTCGCTTTCCAACATTTTTGGTTGAGATCAGTTTATAACTTATGAAGCATGTTGTTTGAATTTAACAAGAGTGGATGGTAGCTTCAGTGTACTTTTTAAATCTCAGTGTCCTCACCTGATGTTTTATCTAGAGATATTGTACTGTAACTTTCAAATGGATATAATACAAAAACTTTATCAGGAATGAAAAGAACATTATCAGAAACTATAAAAATAATTCTGGCCTTTTAATATCTTGAAGTATTTCAAAGCTTTGTAATGAGGTTGATGTTTTTATTGTTCAACATATTCAGTAGCTTAACTAATTTTCACAAAGAGCTGATTTATTCTTGATTATAGAGCAATAAAGCTTAGACACTCCCTTTCTGGCTGTTGTTAATTGTAGGTTGTTTCCATTTTCAAAACTTGGAACCTATCCAGACACTGCAAGGTAGTACTGTAAATGTGAGTTTGACCAATAAAGAAGCAGAATGTGATGAATCACAAAATAAATGTCAGGCTAACCAAAAGTGCTGAAATTGAATTGAAAAAAATAAATATAAAAATTAGGATCCAGACAAAAAAAAAAAGGTAAAAATATCAACCTGATAGTTCTGGTTCAAACGCCAAGAGAAATTAAAGTTTGAAATTTTTATTATGAAATAAACTAGTTAAGCATTAAATCATGCTAAAATATTGACTACAGTATTTTTGAGTTCAAAATTGTTGAAATGTAATTATAATTGTTAATTAAATTTTGAAACCTGTAAATGTGCACTCAGAGTGGCTGGAGCACCTGCTGGATCAGAAAGGGTAAAGCTGTTAATAATACAATTTTTTTTTTTAGTATTTACATTAAATATATATATGTTGAACTTTTGACTGGAGCACCTGTTGGATCAGAAAGGGTAAAGCTGTTAATAATACAATTTTTTTTTGTATTTGTATTAAATATATATATATATGTTGAACTTTTGGCTGGAGCACCTGTTGGATCAGAAAGGGTAAAGCTGTTAATAATACAATTTTTTTTTTGTATTTGTATTAAATATATATATGTTAAACTTAAACTTTTGCATTAATTTGTGTAATAATTTGATTTCAGATGAGGTGAGATCAGAAGCAACATTTAGATTTGTTGTTCCCAGCTTCAGCAGACTCCGAGAACAACTTCTAAGTCCACCCACGTTTGTGAGAAATTTACCATGGTAATTTCTGTCGTAAAATATTTTAAAGAGAAAACTATTACATGCAGAAATAATATTTATGTATAGGGTTGTTTTAAAAGTTTAGAGAATATCAACTAATATCTTTGAAGTCGTTCCCTAAAATTAAACAAATGGAGCTTATTTCTTTTTTTGTAACATGTAGATTTTAACATTATTGTACATGGAAGAAATATTAAATTTACTGTTTTCTCATACTGAACAGTTTTACTGTGTTTATGATCACTTGTGTATAATAAAAATCACTATTTTTTTGTTCTATCAATATTATGAGCAAGATGTACTTTTTTTATTGTTAATCAGAAAGTTTTTCTTTGATATATGTTTTGAGACATAAACCCATTTTTATAGTCATTTACATGTATGTTTTTAATTTATTTTCAGTTATTTTATTTGCCATTTTAAGCATTTAGGCTGAAAGGCCTTATGTCAACACGGTTTTATTGGCAAAAAACTTGATGGGGTTAATGCAAAATGATTAACTAAACCTACCTCATCTTGTTTCATGAAAAACATTGCTATCATAGTGTAACATCATGATTCAAATATTGTATCAAATGATAAAGCAGGCTTTAAAAAATCATAACTTCAATTGTGGTCAAAGTTTTAACAAACATCTTTTATACTAGCAACAAATCACCAAGCTAAGCTTTTATCTCTCTGTCCGATCTCTGTGCAAGGCTCTATTGAACTGCAAACTATATTGGCTTTATGCAGTTCTAAAGAGCAGAAAAAAAAAATTCATGATGTGTTTAAATCACTAGTTTATGTCTTCTCAAAGCCGAGATATAGGCAGTTACATCACACCATCACAACTGAGATTGAGAAACAGTGATTGAATGACTACAGTTTTATTATTGTGGATGAATAACCACAAGCTCATTATCATAGATGAATGTCCACAAGCTTATTATCGTGGATGAATGACCACAAGCTCATTATCATAGATGAATGACCACAAGCTTATTATCATAGATGAATGACCACAAGCTCATTATCATAGATGAATGACCACAAGCTTATTGTCGTGGATGAATGACCACAAGCTTATTATCGTAGATGAATGACCACAAGCTTATTATCATAGATGATTGACCACAAGCTTATTATCATAGATGAATGACCACAAGCTTATTATCGTGGATGAATGACCGCAAGCTTATTATCGTAGATGAATGACCACAAGCTTATTATCGTGGATGAATGACCGCAAGCTTATTAT